GTAGGCATCAGTTTCAGTAATAACCAATGTATTATTCCATTGGCAGGATTACAGAATGAACCGGTCCTATCGGTATATATGTCGACATGTGCTAGCGTTTGTAAACTCCCACTAATGGGCGTCAGTAATCTGTAATCATGACTATATTAGAGACAAAACTATGTAGGATTTACAGAAAAAATCCGTAATTCACAATCAATCTCAAATTTCAAGAATAAATCGGAAAATTTTCCATGTGGGCATGGATTTAACAGGAAAATCATCATTTACAAAAATTCTCAAATCATCTGGGCAGTTAAGTTAACTCCAAGTAGGCATGCTCAACTCAATGAAAATGATAATAATTCCATTTCAAACCATTCATGTTCGGTGCTAATAAAATCAATTTAAACCTTGCCACTATCTTAAAAACAATTTAGAATATGCTTTTACTTTGAAATCGAAGGGCGTTACCATAATTTACTTACCTCAGTTGCATAACACAGAAAATTCACTTCAAGTGCTAGGGTAACAAAATAATCAAGAACCTAACCAAAATATTCCAGAATTAATAATCATATGATCGGACATCTCAATTTTATTCTCAATATAAACTAAACATTTAAACTCTCCTATTGTTGCTGGCCATCAATCCCATAAAAAAATTTTATTTATTTATTTATCCTTATTTTTCTTCTATCTGAAATTGAGCACAAAAATCAGATTGTGCATTTATATATGCATAAACACGCATATACACAATTCTCCAATTTCATAGACAACATGGAGGAATCGGCCTTGGCAAAAACAATAGCTAATTTCACAAGATTTTTCTCCAGAACCTAACAGCAGCTAATTAATACCCAATCACATGTATTCTACATGAATTAAGCTTAATTTTGTTCAAATTGCTACCGGAATTCATCCCCTATTTCAGCAGAAATTCGGACAGCACAGGGGCAGCAAATAAATGGATAATTTCAGCAACTACTGGGTAAATTTGGACTTTGATGGAGCTGTCACATACCAGAAACTTCAGCAAGCAAACCGGAGCTGGCGGGTTTGGGGGAGGCCGACGGGAATGGAAGGAGAAATCAGGGGATCTACCGAAAATTGGAGAAACCAAAAGAAATTAGAGTAAACTCAAGCCAAATCAAAGGAGAAAAGAGGAATTAGTGGCTGTTTCCCTTACTAGAAACTTGAAAAATCACACCCACACAGCAGAGCAACGGACGAAGAGGGAGGGAGCAGAGCCCATCTGGAATTTTTCTGCAGAGGGGAAGATTTCTAAGTCTAAATCTTGTTCTTCAACAAGAAAAGAAGGGAAAGAAATCAAGCTTTTTACCGTTTTTTCAAGTGGGTGGTGTTGTTGGGCTTGGGGTTTCTTGTTCGGTTGCAGGGGAGAAGAAGAAGCAAAACACACGGTTGAGGAAGAAAGAAAGAAGGAAAAGAAATTCAGCCATCCTTATCCTAATTTTTTCTCTTTTAAGTCCCTCAAATTTGAAAATTTTGATGATTAAGCTCAATAATACTATTTTCTCACAATTAGGTCCTTAGCTTATACTTAATTGTTCTAGAAA